TTCTGCCAGAGGTTTCTTCCTAACGGGGAGCTTTTCCTCTCCACTGTCGATTCATGCTTGCTCATCATGGACAGGTTCTCCAACCTGTGTTACAAATGGACTTCCATCTTCCAGGTCCCTGAGTGAAGCTCTAGTATCAGCTCACGCAATCCACTGAACCTCCACATGAAGCTCAGCATACCATCTCGCTAACCAGCAGTCTACAGACTGAACAACTTCATCTATCTCCACTCAACCACCAGTTTCAGGCCTGGGGGGGAAACAGCCCTATTCTTTGCTCCTGTTCATGCATATCTATCAAAATTAAGCACTATCTTTTTTTGCCGAGGTCTGAGCGCAAAAGACAAAGTAATTGTATCAATAGTAGGGGTGGGTATTGCCAAAGATGTCACGATTCGATTTGAATCACGATTCCTATGCCACGATGCGATTCTATCACGATGCATCACGATACTTGAATTATTGCGATGCATTGCAATATTTTCTCCTCCAAGTTTTGTTTTTGAATAACTCTGCGCAGTATCCCGTGGCCGGAAATGCTTGTGACACAAGGCAGCGTGCGCCAACACATCCGCAGCGACATCTACTGGACTGGAAGTTGTATTACAATATTTTTGGCTGATGTTCGCCAACCATTCATGCAATTTTATTTATTAATTTTTTTAAATTAATAATCGATACCTGGCGTCAAGAATCGATGCAGTAGATCACGAAAATTAGAATCACGATGCATCATCATGACGATTATTTTGCACACCCCTAATCAATAGATTTCTCTTTAATTGTCTTTTCTCTTCGTGTGAGTTTTTCAGATTAAAATGTCACTTACTACATGCCAAGAAATCACCTGAACAGAACCTGTCTGACAATTGGAGTAAGCAAAAAGGTTACCAAATTTACATTAAATCAACATCCAAACTCAAAGTGAGTTTTATTTAAACTGAGAGTCTTTAGTATGACCTTAAAACAGCCAGTTTGTGCATGTAAAACCTTCACTAAATATAACAAAAGCAGGACAAAATTCTTAAACAGCTTACAAAAACTTTATGGTTAGAGTGGCTCAGACTATCCTGAGCTATCCTTGTAGTTATGCTGATATAGGCTTAGGCTGCTGGAGAACCTAGGGACCACTTTTCATTATTTTTCTACACTTTATTGCTATTCTTGGGGATTCAACATGGCGGCGCCTGTAGGCAGCAGCTCAATTCAGCTCTCGACAATTCCACTGTCTCAAAGCTGTATAAACAAAATTTAGTTTCTTATACACTCTGTGTATACAAAAAAACAATAAAGTTGTCTAAGTCTGTCTATGTCATTCTTCAATTCTGTAGTATTTGTCTCTCCAACCCCTACCTTTATGTGCTCTCTTTCACCCTTTTTTTTTTTACAAGAAAACCTTTTCAGAGCATATCAGCTTAACAATTTCTTTCCCAGGTGGAGCCATCTATGGAGCTAGTTCACCATTACCTTCCCATACAAAGGATTGATGGATCATTACTTCTTCATTCCTTGTTCATTGTGTATGTCTGCTTCTATCTTCTTGAACCTCCAGTCAGCCTCGGTGGAAGACTGATCACACTATGCCTGGTTCTAGTGGAGGTTTCTTCCTATTAAAAGGGAGTTTTTACTCTCCACTGTAGCGGCCTGCATGCTTGCTGTGAAGGTTTGCTCTAGAATTAATGACACACTCCTCCAGGAGGAACAAATCCTGCAAAGTCAATGACTTGATGCAATCAGCTGTTGTTCCTTAGATACAGGATTTTAAACCAATCTGACTGTATGATCTGATTGAACTAACTCTGTAATGTGTCTCGATATGTCATGTGTTGTGAATTGCCGGTATATAAATATACTGAATTCAATTGATTTACATGGGAATGTAAATCAATTAATGCCTTACCGCTAACTTCTTTCACCCTGAGCCAAGTTGGTTTAAACATTTTTCCCCTTAATTCTTGAAAGGTACATTTAAAAAACTGCTTTTAGGATTTACTCAAATTCTTGTTATCTGCTATGGTATTTATCTGATAGTCTGGACTCTAACTCTGATAGAAAAGGGGGAAAAAACTGTTGCACTGTAGACCTTACAAACCAAGCTTGACCATCAAGCTGAAACATTTAACTGGATTTGGAGAAGTGTAACCTTTGTCGACTGTAAATATTTTTTTATATACTTCCTATGTTTCCACTGTCCGTATAAAACATTGACACTTATGTTTATAGATTTGCTTATATATTTAAATCAGTAACTGTGCTTGGTTAACTTTTTCACCAGTATGTTTTTTTCACAATATTTAGCAGTTATTATTTTTTTCTTCTTAAATTAACAGATTGAATATTATTATTTTTAACCACCATAGGTGTAGCTCTAGCATGAAGGGTCAAAATACTTTGTTGTGATAAAACTACCTTTTGATGGGCCTGTTTAGAATGAATGGAGTTGTACTCATAAACATGTTTTGGTAGCTACAACAATAGAGTCAAGTTAAAACCATATTAATAAAACAGACTGATAATGCATAGAAAAGCTTTCATTCATTACTCCTATGCTCACCCAAAGAGAGTCCTAATTCCTATGAAAATAAAAGGCACTATGCAGGCGAGAACAAAACTAAAAGGGAGTCAAACAACTGGTTCTGCCCTGATTCCCTTGATTGTCAGGCAATCATTCAGTCGAAAAGTGGCATCAAGAAACAAATAGGCAATGAGGAAAAAGCACCCTTATACACCAAAAGCTGTTGTTTTTTTCATAAAAACTGACTTCTACCTAAATTAAAAATGCTTTCGATTATTTCACAATATTATTGCCACATAATATATCTATTATTTATTGATGTAGATACTTAATTTTGTGGTTTATTTATCTAATTCTAAGCACTTTCACATTTCATGGTTAAGAAGGTATTGCAAGCAGTGCCAGGATTCCCGAAAGTGAAAACCCAAATTTATTGTAGCTGTCATGCCCCTCTTTTTTTCACAACCAAAAGTTTTGGGCTCTGGCATGATCAGCACAGTTCAGTGCCATAGAAATTAGGAATATGTCTTGGTGGTTTTTAATGATTTAAATCTGCGGATGTTGTAACATTTTTTTCACCTTCGTTGACTCCAGTTGGAGTTAAGCATAGCAGTTTGTGAAAAAGAAATCTGGGAATTATGAAAAAATATTCAATAAGAAGATCTATTAGGCATGCAAAAATAATTCTATAAAGTTTTTTTAGGTGAAAACACGAGAAATATAAAATGTTGTCCCCAAAATGTGACAAACTGTGAAAAAAAGGCAAAACATCCAACTGTGTCTTTACTAAAAACTGTAACTTTGCTCCAATTTACCTCAGCTGTAGGAATTATTGCACTGGTAATGTCTAAAGGTGGATCTACAGCTTTTTTTTAAAGGTTTTAAAAGTCATGAATAAGGCTCCTTTTAAAAGGTATTATAAGGAGCCTTATTAATGACTTCCTTAAAAAGTTTGTATAATTGCCCTGCGACAGTCCAGGGTGTGCCCTGCCTCTCACCCATAGATAGGAACCAGCCCCACTGTGACCATGATGGAAAAAGCAGGAGAAGATGGATGGATGGATGGATGGATGGATGGATGGATGGATGGATGGATGGATGGATGGTTTATATACTTATAACACTAAATAATATTGGCAAGAGAACAGGAAATTGTTCTATATTTCTATGCGCCATTCTCATTTTCTTTTCTTCAGCTGCTGTGATAATCTCTGAAGTATTAGTTTTATCATGATACCATGATTATTTAGTAAAATTTGGGCATGTCGTCATGGAAATCCCTTGGAGCTTAAAAGGTTAAATCCCAGGCAGGGTGTCAGTTTGTGACATCTTCAGCATTTAAAATCTGTATAATTGACTGTTTCTTCCTCATTGGATTAATGACTGTATGAATCTTCACATTGTGAATTCAGAGCAGTGCACTAGACTATCCTTTCTTAGATTTCTCTAAATCACATGTGAACATTAATATGACTATAATGAGCTTTAAGTACAAACTCAATTTGCAAAAAAAAAAAAAAAGGAAAAATAACGATTAATGCCCTTGGAATTTTAATGATGTTTGACCAGCTCTCCTCAAGCTTATTTAATAGGGTCACTGTCTAACCGCATCTTAAATGGGTTCAGTTAAGTCTTGTGCTCAGATAGAAAAGCAGGGATTGTGCTCCAATCCTCCAGCCAATGGGAAGGTCTAATGCAGAAGAGGGTCCAAGTCCTCTTATCATTGCTGATAATGTCTATTCATGAGACCATGGGCTGTTTTCCTTGTTATGTATCATTAACCAGCACACCAACATCAAACCTGCTCCTTACACAAAGCCGGACGTCATGCAGCTGATGTAAAATTCAGAGGTTGGCCCCTGCAGACTTAGAAGAAAGCTGCTGTGTTACTACTTTAACTAAAATAAGCCTGGAGGTTGGCAGCTGATATGGTCAGACCCACACCACATGACAGAATGATTCCCTTTTAGAAAGCAGGCCAAGCAGACTGTGACAATAACAGTTTTGATTGTGATTATTCCTGCTGGGGTCGGCAATCAAGCAGCTGATTTTGTCGACATTGTGAGGAAAATAACTCTGTTACCTCATTTTTATTACTGCAGTTTGTTGATTCAACTGACAAGTCAGACAAATTGACTTTATGGCTTAATGTAGGCCATTCAGACACTATTCTGACAAAAAGATGCGTGTTTTTACTGTGATATTGCTGCAATTATCATTTCACTGGCAAATAAAATATTGCTTTATAATGATCCGCTCTGCTGTGTAAATCTTCCTCTAAAGCAGGCAATAAATCAGTGATCTTTGACAAAGCAAACACACAAGAATCCAATATGGGATAAATCTCCTCTGTCGTATACAGAGCCGTATTTTACCCACTTTAAAATCCATGCAAGAATCTAAAATTTTTAAAGAACTACTCATACACATGAAAGCAGATACAGAAGAGCACCCGCAAGGTGAGCAACATGCCTCGGCCACCTACCTCGCTGTCAGTGCATTGTTGTATGTCTCATGCGTGTTCTTTTCTCTCGCTCTGTTTGGGTATAAGACAAAGTGTGAAGAGGCATCATCATTACAGGCCATTAATATTACATGCAACAGTGGCTCACATTAACGACCTGACAGTCCCTCCCCCCTCAAGCTTGTCTCTAATCCATGGAAAAACTTACACAAACACCTTCTGAGGGAGATACTGGTAGAAAAATACTTCTAACCGAAGGTAATCGTACATTAAGACCAATTCTCACTAGAGCTCAAAACCTCTCAGCAAGAATTATATACTTGTTTTAAAGATCTTTACAATTTGGAGTTGCAGAATTTAAAGCAATATTTTACTATAAGGACGTTGCGGTGATAGTAATGGGTATATATTTAGGAATTCATTTTTGAGGGATATATTTTAAAGCTAAACCTTAAGTACACTGTTTCCTTATGTGACACTACGGAAAGCCAAAATAATTCAGCCAAGATTTCAAAAACTGAACAGTGGACTTCCACACATCTTTGACACATCTTCAGAGAAATATTCCAGATACCTCATTGTGCTACAAACATCTATTCAAATAATTATGCACACGTTTAAACACCCTGAGAGTGTCCAGCTATGATACACTTTATGAAGAAGACAGCTGATGTGTCCCAGAGACGATTCTTGTGGAAGCTTGTAACAGGGAATCAATCTCCTCAGCAATACCTGTGCTTAAAGGCTCTATTTCAAAAGCAATATAACAAAATGATACAGTTTTCTAAAGTACAATGATCTTATTTTTGGGAGATTTTGAAGCTAAAACAAATGTGTTTACCCGTAAGGATTCTTTCAAAATTATTTCTTCTTACAGAAAAAAGGAGAAACATTTAAACCTGAGAACACCACCCCAGCTATAAAGTAAAGAGGTTGTACTATAATGTTATGGGCTTGGTTGTGTTTTTCTGCAGAGTGTATTGCTGCAATTCACAATGTATTTGCATCTTATATAAAAGAACAATACGTACAAAATGATAAATCAGTAATACAAAACATCAGCCAGAAAATTAAAGCTTGAGCAAAAAAGGATCTTCCAAACTAACCATCAAAACAGTTATAAACCAAGTCAATGTTTTTGAGTATCCATCATGAAGCCCTGATTTCAGTCTGAAACATTTTCAAGTACAGCATAAAAGGAATGTAAGCAAGGCCCACTCAAATCTGACTCAGCCATGCATTTTAAATCAGTAGGAAAAAGCAAAAGATTATAGCAAACTACTGTAAAAAGGTTCACATAACACTTTACCCAAGTCACAAAATCCAATATATTGAATCCCAATTAAATGTGTGTATAGCTCTGAAACAAAGAAAAGTTTAAAATAAATTCTTCACATCTTATACTTTAATTATTTATGTTATCCTTAACAAAGATAGTATTACATGTATTCTATCAATATGTGCATATGGGTTACATATGAAAAAGTGTGTATAGAAATTAACTTACAAGCAGCTAAATTTTAAAAGGAAATACAATTCCAACCTACAGTAAAACTACACAAGTGCTGCATGAACTCCATATATTTTATCAACAGTTAAAATATTTGTCTTATTTTATAACTAGTATAGATTTTATTATGATATTTTAAGTGCAAAATAATTTTCATTCAAACAAGACAACTAAACTAATTAAACTAACAGCGATGCTGAATGTGAGGCCGTGACATTAGTTTGATATATTGTAGAAATATATGAACTGATTTATACTAACAACACACACAAAGGTTAAATTGTAAATTTTTTTAATCATGCAAACAAACTTAGACTGGGCTGATGTAGATTGATTTAGAAACAAGTTTCCCTTGAACATTTTTCAAAATAATGACTCCTAGTAACTAAATAAAATCAACAACATTTTTAGGAAAAAAAAATAATTAAAGATCTACGAATTTTCTTATTTTTTTTCCAAGATGGTAGTGTTAAAATACTAGTAAGACTAAAAACAGTACGTGTGAGCAATCAAACAGATTCCCTCTGACAAAGTAAAGATCTCTGCTTACCAATGATCTGTTTTTGTTCCCAGATTTAGGTCTAAACCTTCAGTTCTTCAAGATTCTTAAACACTCCTCAGTGTCCCATCAGCTGACTTCTCAATGAATCTGTCAGGACTGAAAAAGCCTGGCAACTTTTTCCTGGCCAGTGTTTCAAAGACAGAGTCTGTGCAGGTCCCCTTAAGTTGTCCTTTCCGGGCTGTAAGTCACAACTGATTTTTTAGTGTGGTCCATTCAAAGGCCATGTGCGTCTCAGTTCCTCTTGCTCCTGATTGTGGTTTTGCCTAGTCTGCCGTGTCTCCTGTACTACCACCACCACTGGATTTTAGCTCTGTGCCCCCCCCACTGACTTCCCACCTCTCGTTCTAAGCTTTCTCCTCCTCCCAGGTCAATCAGCCTGTCCTCTGTAACTGAGGGTGGAGCCTGCTGTCAGCAGCCGAGGGAGGATGTTACACATACCTATGAAGAGAGAAAGTGTGTGTGTGTGTGAGAGAGAGAGAAAGGGAGACAGAGAGAAACACACAGGGAACAACTCTGTTCATACATGTGTATGTGCATCTCCAGCTTTAATGTGAGCAAAAAACGTGTTTATTATGTTATAGAGAGGACAGACCAAGGTGAAGGTTAAGCAGCAAACCCGCCCGTCCAGTTTTCAGTCCAATGATTTGTCTCTTGTGTAACTTATTTTGTGCGTTTGTTTTGAATCCACCTTTTGTGCAAAGCTTTGTTTTTTCTTTACTCCTTTGTTGATGGAGGACAAGAATCGGAGGACCTGGTAAGGAACATAGAGAGGCTGAGTCAGCCCGGTCACACCCTTGACGTACACACTAGAGTTTATACAAAATAAATAAAAAAGATGCTTTATTTCAGTTCACTGTACCAGCTCGCTTTCTCTCTTTAGGGTGTGGACTTCACATTGTAAGAAAACACTGCTAGCATGCATGAAAACATTCAGAGGTGTGCACAGGGAGGGGACACACAAATCCATGTTCATACCAGTATAAATAGACAGAAATGCTAACAGGAAAATGGTGGGTATAAAGCAATGGGATTTGCAAACATCTAACATTTTTATCACATTGTTCCTTTTTTTTCCACCATCTGATAATGCATGATGAAAAGGAAAGGTGGCATGACTCTCAATTTCTTTGCAAATATCTGATAATATGATATCACAGAATAAAGTGTAAGAAAAAAAATTCCAAAATCAGTTAAGTCAGGCCAAAACCCAATATTACTAGGAAGTAGAAGAAACGTATAAATGTTTCCTTTATTGGTTGTTGTTTTGGGTTTTTTTGCAAACAAAATCTAAAAATGAGCATGTGTTTATTTTTGAACTATCTTTTTCTGCTATTACATAGGTCATATTTTTCTAGGAGATCCCTCTACTGTGTGCATCTAAAGACAAACATTTCTGGTTATTTCCTTCGGGAAAAGAAAAAAAAAAACTCAGGCTAAGCCAGACTAGATGGAAAGCTTCAGCGTGCATAATTTTTAAGACTTTCAAGGGATTTTCATTTAGATCACCTTTCAGCCTTTGACTAGACCATTCTTGTTTACCATTCTTTGTACACAATGCTCCTTGTCTTTTTTTAACTCTATATAATGTAGCCATTATTTAGGTTTGTAATAATGCTAGTGAGTAATGGAAACCAAAGTTAAATTCGTGTCACTGGATACAACTTGGTCTGTGTAGTTTGTTCTAATTCTGATCTAAATCATTCAATTTTTTCCAAGGCTCTGTTTATGCTATCAGTCCAGCTGGAAGGTAAGAGCCTACCTTACTCTCAATTATTCTTTATTTAGAGCCAAGATTGCATTGAATGATTGTCCTGTATTTAACTCCATTCCTCACTATCCCTGCAGCATAATGGTTCTACCAGATTGTTCTATTATAGTTTTCATTCTGATGGGGGGTTTTTTAACTCGGAAGAAAAAATAGTGAAAGAAACACTGTTTTTAATAGCTAGGTGTCTTTTTGATTTTTACTTGCAAACAGTAAAAAAGGCATGCACAGTATGATTTCTTATCTACTTCACTGCTGTGTTTTTGTGTTAGTCTCTGAATGAAAAGTGGTACTTTGTTAAAATGAAACACAATCTCACAATGTGAAAATGTTCATGTGGTATACATGTTCTTGCAATGCACTCTAAAATTGTTCCAAAAGGTTAAGAGAGTTTTTTAGCTTTTCTCTTGTGTTTTCACCTTCAAACTTGAATCAATAAGGATATATGCACTTTGCTGATATTTGTGCAAATATCATTTAAATCAGTTCCAAGATGATATAGGATTGTCCCATGATGTCAGAGAATCTGTCCTTTTCCCTCGGGTGTTACATGACTCTCCTCCTCGGTTGAACTATTTAGTCCTTAGCTGAGGAGGAGGGACAACAGGTTTCCTGAGAATTACTCTAATGTGATTATCTGGCTGCCTGGGTCCCGAAGGACATTTTGTTTTAAAGCAGTAAAGCAACTAAATTAATCCACTTTTCTTGCTGAGTGGCCAAACTTGACAATTGATTAAAAGAAGTGAAAAGATGGCAAGGCTGAAATTAAAATCTATAAAATAAATAACTTCAGGTCATGACAAAAAAGAAAAAGTCTGTGCATTTTTCTGCTCTGTCTATCATCCACGGGAGCATCTTTTGCAAAACATGTTAAGCTGCTTTGAAGCTCAAAAGGAATGCAGAGACTCTAAATATCTCAGATCATGACAGTCTTTTCCTTTGAGAATTCTGGCTGGTCATTCTCCCACATGCTGGAGCTTATTTTCAGCTCCCAGTTTGTGCCAGAAATAAAAATGACAGCTGTTTCTCTCTAAGATGGACTCTCACCTGCTAATATATCACCCCCCCCCCAACTCCTTTTCATGACTATCTTTTCTTGCAAAAAGGTTTATTACAGGTAAACACAAGTCAGCAGGCATGTTGAGTTAACAACAAAAGTTAGATGGAAACATTTTAATATTATTAAAGGGAGTCAAGTAAATAAGAAAAGTTATCAATCAACTTCACTTACCATTACGATGTGTTTTTCTGCAGACATCATTACCATCAGCAGGAGCACTGAGAGGAAATTATGCCTAGGTGAAAGTGCAAGGCTCAAGCTGTGGACATAGCAGAGAGAGAAAAAACACCACCTGGCCACTTGAGGAACATCTGAAGGAATCATTAGCAGTCAGACCACCAATAAATACCCGAGACGAATGGAGAATTTAGTGTTAATCTTTTGTGGACCTGTAATAACCAGGGAACACAACATCTCAAAGCTCCTTTTCACGAGATTGCTTTTGCAAACCTGTAACTGACCTTGAAAAGGATCAGTTCCACATCTGTTTCAAGCATTGTAGGCACAACTGTAATTTTCTTATACTAAAGGTAACAACAATAAAACATTTCAACGTTTGGACAACTTAGTTCTGTTTTATCAATGACTCTTGTTTTGTTTCAAATGTTGAGATTGCGGCATATCCGAGTAAAAAATGTCCGTATAGTAAAATTATAGGAAATAAAGAAAATGGGTAACTCATTCATAGCAAATTTTTGGTGTGAGAATCATGAAATAAAATACATTTATTTTGTGTGTTGCTTAAAGCACCTAGAAACACTGTAGATATGATTTCCATTTGTAACATTTTCTTCACATTACTTATACAATACTCAATATTAGTATTTTCTGTGATAGAACAGAGACACAAGGACATCCCCCTGACTGTTGTCTCAGTCAATGGGTCGAGATGTGGTATGGATTACCTGGGCCTCTTAGCATCCCTGCGGGGGTTGCTGGATAGTGGCCCTCCCGGGGATTCCATCATTCTGCAAGGGGTCTTCACATTTGGGAGGGAGCAATAGGGTGCAACAGAACCCCCAGGTCTCAAAATGAGCTGTGTTTCATCATTGTACTTTTGTAAAATCAAGGATTGCACCAAGTATTAGGATGCCCATCAACACCAGGACACACAAGACTTTAGGACATCGGTCAACGTTGCAGTCATATCTTCTGAACTTGGGCTGCATGTCTTGGACATGAGAGTGAGGAGAGGAGCAGAGCTGTCCACTTATCACCACCTGTTGGTGAGTTGGATACGCTAGAAAAGGAGAAAGACAGACAGACTTTGCAGGCTCGAGCAAATAATGAGGGTCTGCTGTTGCAGAGCCCACTGCCAAGGAGATCTTGCTTCTATTTTCTATGGAGGAGCCTGCAACTGTAGCCATAAGGTCTGCAGAGCCTGTTGCAATGGCAACCTCTGAATATGGTGTTGGACACCATAGCGCGATTATCAACCAGGTACTGTGAGGCCAAGCATGCCACTGCCTGGACAGTTCAAGAGGAAAAAACCTGGTCCTCTGCAGAGCAGTAGAGACCATTGAGAAAGGCCTAAAGGGGCTATAAATTCAAAATAGACGTATACCAAAAACCAATCAAACCAATCCAACATATACTAAGTTAACACCAGTATATTTATATGAATGCAGACAAGAAAAAACATTATGATAACCCTTTATCAAAAAAAAAAAAACGAATTTCATGCATAGGTCTACTTTTTGAACATAAATGTTGCCCTTCTGAGGCTTTGTGAAGATAAAGCTGTGTTTTGCATGGTGCAATATTGTGTCAAAAACCTAAAAAAAACAATGTACCAGTTTTATAATGGACAAGCTATTGGCCAGTTTCATACGTTTAAAAAAAAATATATATATATATATATATATATATATATATATAAACTATTTTCTGATTATTTACGAGCAACTATGCAAATGAACAAAAATGTAGAAAAAGTACACTATATTATATTATTTTTCATGTGAAACCCAGATTGTTCATTCTTCTTTGCCTTTTCTAAAAAGTGCTTTATATCAGTCCAACCTGTCTTTATCCATGCTCTGTCAGATCGTGATGTTTAAAAAGGAGTGTTAGCCTTGTTACATGCAGTTAGCCAAGCCTTCTTGCTAAACCAGGTCCTGAAAAAAGAAATTTCTTGCACCATTTCTCTCTGCAACTTGACCTGTCAATCACCTGCAAAACATCTGCACTGTTGTGGGAGGTGGTGAGCAAATACACTTCCTGTCAGCTCGGAGCGTAGGAGCTCTCCTATATCTTTGTATTGCCGAGGAGCTACTGCGCATGTACAACTTTTTCAACGACAGTCAATTGGCAAAGATTTCAAAATATTTAACAATTTTAATTTGAAATGAAAAAAAAAATATATTATTATTTTTAGTATGTCTTAATCAGTGTCATTGGGTGTGGGACAGTGCCCTAGCGCCCTCAATTGGCTAGCCTAGACAGCTTAATAGACTGATAGTTGAAAACTCCAGCAGGGTCAGGAACAGTC